AAACTAGCAACAGGCTAGACAGAGATATTGAATCTTTAGTCAGGACCAAGTTCCTGAAGAAAGAACCTTTTTTTTTTCTTTTTTTAAAGAGAAATAAATCTAATATAATGGCTGCAGGGGGGCGGGCAAAAAGTCGCATATTCATTCTATAACCCCAGTGGAAAGAGCACTGGACAAAGGAAAAGGAAATCAACGACTTTGTCACGTGCCAGTTTTGTGACCCTAGTCAAGTTACTAACTTCTCTAAGCCTCATTTTCCATTTGTGTGAAATGGGAATTATGCCTCTTGCCTTACCTGTTTTATAGAAGAGATAGGTTTGAATTCTGGCTCTTCTGCTTATTAGCTGGATAACTTTGGGCAGAAGCCTTAATTCTGTGAGCTTTGATTTTCTCCTTTTTGTATTGGGGATTAATAACAGTATGTTTCTCATAGGATTTTTGTGAGGATTAGATGAGGTGATACATGAAAAATTTTTAGCTCAGAATCTGGTTAAAGTCTTCAATAAATATAAGCAATTATTGTTTTTAACAGGGTTATTATGAGGGGCAAATGAGAATCTATATTTGAAAGCTTTGAACCGCCATTCATTATTATTATTTTTCTATTGAATTGGAGCTTCTCCAAACTGGCTATGGTTGAGACAAGGCTGCATATCTCCAAGCTGGGTTCCAGAGTCCAGCCTTCTGGCTGTGAAGCAGAGGCTACAGGGTGGAATGAGGAGAAGGGAAGGCCGCATGCTCTAATATCATTGGGAGCTTTCCTGCCTGGGCTGAGTGTGTGTGTGTACATACTTTGCCTGTGGACACACATGCATGTGTGTACATATGTGTGTGCAACTGTGAGTGAAGGATCTTTCTTGCTTTTGTGTGCTTTAGAATATAGTTCACATTATCCAGGTGACAAAATGCTTCCTCCCCAAATAAATTTGCTTCTAAAACCCATTGTTACTTTGGAATCCTAAGCTGTCAGTTTGGCCTCTAGTGTGAGGAAAGGCATTAGAGGGTGGTATAGTGGCTGAAGCCCAGTCTTGGGCCTGTAGGGGCCATTCAGCAACCCGCAAGCCTCCTTGCCCACCCCTGCCCCCAGCCCCAGCCTCACTGTATTCAGATGTCCTAGAGGCTAAGTCTGTGCTGGGCAGGTTATTGGCAAGGAGGCTTTGGCGAGGACCTTGTAGGGATGAGATCATCCTATGGGATGGTGAGGACACCTGTGCTGGCCTTGGCCACCCGCACAGTGATGTAACCAGGGACTTTAGCTCACAGTGGAAACATAGTGCTCGCTTTACATCCAGGGCTGCCCAGAGTGTGTTCCTGGCCAACCCAGCTGTACCCTCACCTCCCCTGCTCCCTGCTTCTGTATACAGGTCCCCAGTGTGCCCTCTGTTTTCACCCCTATTCCTCTGTGTTTCTGTTCCTTCATCAAGCATGCTTGTTTGTTCATTCACTTATTCATTCAACTACCTCTTGCTTGTTTGTTCATTCACTTATTCATTCATCCCACAGAGTTTTATTAAGTACCTGCTTTGTGCCAGACACTGTAATAGGTGGTCGGGATATATCAATGAATAAGATATGATTCCCACACACATGTGATTTAAGCATAGTAGTGGAGCACAGACATGGAAGTAGCCAATTACAGTGTTGTAATTACAGCCATGATGGAGAAGTACAGGTTATGCTAGAGTTGGGGTGAGGGGAGGAGATGGGGGGCACCAGATTCATTTTTCTGAAATTCTGCTCATCCTTCAAGCCATAGTTCAAATGTCACTCATGCCATAGATCCTCTCCTACTTTGCTAGCCAGAGGTGATCACTCCCTTCCCTGAACCTGAGCACTTCATTTGTGTATTACTTCATTTATCCATCTATAAAGATTTAATGAGTATTGATTCTATGCAAGGCACTAGTTTAGAAACTGGACACAGCAGTGAATAACGTAGTGAAGTCTCTGCTCTCATGGAGCTGATAGTTCCACAGAGGAGTGGGTAGGGGAGAATAGATAATAAACTAACAACTCATAAATGTCAGATAGAGATGTGTTCTGTGGAGTAAAATAAACAAAGAAGGATAAGAAGTGCCAAGAAAGGAGAGTTACTGTTTTACCTAGAGTTGTGTGGAATACCTCTTTAGGGAAGTAATAAGTAGACAGAAACCTGGTGTGTTAGGGAAGAAGCCAGAAAGACTGCAGGGCTGGATAGGAGAAAGCAAGGGGACAAGTGGTAGGAGACAAGGCCAGAGAGGAAATAGGGGCCAGGTCATGAGGGCTTGGTTGAAATGGGGACACCGGGGTGTTTTGTGAGGAGCTCTTGTGGCAAGTGGTTAAGAGTTTGGCTGCTAACCTAAAGGTTGGCTGTTTGAACCCATCAGCTGCTCTGCAGGAGAAAGATGTGGCAGTCTACTTCTGTGAAATCTACAGCCTTGGAAACCCTGTAGGACAGTTCTACTCTGTTCTATAGGGTTGCTGCAAGTGGGAATTGACTCTATGGCAATGGGTTTTGTTTTTTGGGGTGTTTTGTGAACAGCTAAGCGGTTGGCTGCTAACTACAGGTTGGAAGTTCAAGTCCATCCAGAGGTGCCTCAGAAGTAAGGCCTAGTAATCTCCTGAAAAATCAGCCATTGAAAACCCTGTGAGCACAGTTCTATTCTGACACAGGAAGTTGCCATGAGTTGGTGTCAACTTGATGACAACTGGTTGGAGGTGTTGTGAGCAGAGGCACTACATGACCTGACTTTGTTTGAAAAGAGTCACTCTGGCTGTTGTGTTGTGAATGGGCTGAGGAGAGACAAGGATGGAAGTAGTAAGATCAGAAATGGAGGTTGAGATGATGGTTATGTGGACTGGGTTGGTGGTAGTGGCAAGAAGTGATCATATTCTGGGTATATTTCAAAAGGAGAGCCTTAGGATGGCTCGATGAAGTAGATGTGAGAAAGAGAAAGGAATAAAGGATTACTTCAGAGCTTTTAGCCTGAGCCAAATTAGAAGGATGAACTTCCCATTTACGGAGGTATGTGGGGGTTAGCTTGGAGAGGGAAATAGGAGATTTGGTTTTGGACGTGTTAAGTTTGAGTGCTATTAGATCTTCAAGTAGAAATTCAGATATGCAGTCAAAAACAAGCACCAGGAATTTAGGGGAAGGTCTAAGCTGGAGATACAAATTTGGGAGCCATCAGTATACAGATAATTAAAATGCCTGGACAGGATTAGATTCCCTAGGTTGTGAATGGACAGAGAATGGATAATGGTTCTGAGGCTTGAACCCTGGAGCATTCTAACATTTACAGGTCTTAGTGATAAGATTGAGGAAAGGGGCCAGTGAAGTAGGAGGAGCACCAGAAGGGAGAGGTGTCCCAAAAGCCAAGTGAGGAAAGAGCTATAGGGAGTGGGGTCAGTGCTGCCAATTGGTCGATAAGGGTCTACTGTTGGGTTTGGTAATACACAAGTCATGGGTGACCTTGACAGGAGAGTTCTAGAGACATGGTGGGAACAATAGCCCGATTGGAGGAGAGGAAGTGAAGACAGTGAACATAGACAACTCTTTCAATTAATTTTTCTATAAAGGAGAGAACAGAAAAATAGAGGCAGGAGAATGTGGAGTCAAAGGAAGTTCTTTTGAGAAAGGAGACAATACAGCTTCTTATACTTTGATAGAGAGGAAATGTTGGATGATGCAAGACAGTTCTGGATAACTGTTGGAAAGATATCCTTGATTAGGCAAGAGGAGATATGATCCAGTACAGGGACAGCTTTAGATGGGAATGGAAGTGGTTTATCCATAGACAGTAGGGAAAGCTAAGCATATGTGTACAGATGGAGGTGCGTTGCTACCTTATGTGGGTACGCGTCTTATCTTTTCTATCATACAGTAAGTTCTTTGAGAGCAGAGACCTTGTCTTACATGCTCCATCACCTCATAGCCTAGCTTGGTAGTCAGCAGGTGCTTAATTGTGTTTATGTATATTTTGGAGTGAATATGTTGTACTAAGAGTACCTGGTACACTAGGTACTATTACCTAGTGGGGTGGTACAAATGGTTAAGCACTCAACTACTAACCAAAAGATTGGTGATTTGAATATTTCTAACAAGTAATGAAAAATCAACTGGAGCTAGCTTAAGACATGAAGTAGAATTCACTTGTAAGTCTAGCAGTGCTTTTTAGGGAATTGCACAGGAATGCAGCTGTGCCCAGGCAAGGGAAGTATTTAGAAGCATGTTGAGATTCTTTCTGTCTCTCATCTCTTATTCTATCCTGAATATCAACTTCATTTTTCTATTTCATTGCGGACCAGCTTTGTTTGCTTCTTATTGCATGTGGCAGAACATGGCTGCCATACACTTCCCCTTCTAGACCAATCAGCTATGGCCAGGGAGGCAGGAATATGTGACCAAAACAGTTGGATGCTCTTCTTCATGGGTAGAGATCTCCAGAGAAGAGGGGCTGGGTAGACACCTCAGTAGATGTCACTGTAGTGAATGGGTGGGTAGGTAGGTATGGATGGGTGGGTAGATGGATGATGGATGAATGGATGAATGAATGAATGAATGTTTTAGCTGGATATCCACATAATACCAAAATCAGGAGCCTGGGGTGAAGGAAGGAGGCTTTTGGCAGTGATGGTGGTGGTGGGGTGTTGGGAAGGAGATCTCTGAGGATAACGTTGTCATTATAGTTGAAGGTGTAGAATAGGTCACTGCAGAAAGAAAGATATTACCACCAGCCAAGGCTTTCTGGATACTCCTTGCTTCCCTTCTTATAGGAAGCTAGGAGATTTCTCTTCTATATCTGCTTTCCAATAAGCAAAGGAAACAGTTTTCAGCTTTGACAGAGCCTGGCTTCTAAAAACAAGCTGAACTATATGATGATGCTGGTCTTCCAGCACACCTGGGGCAGGTGTCCTGTCCATTCTTCAGGTGGTCTTGGGGAAGCCATGATATCCTGTTCTCTCCTCTCACTATTTTGGAACTAGCCTTCCTGCAACTTGATTTCCTACTTCTTTCTCAGGATACCCAGAGCCAGAGGTTACCTGGTACAAGGACGACACCGAACTGGACCGCTACTGTGGCTTGCCAAAATATGAGATCACTCACCAGGGCAACCGCCACACCCTGCAGCTCTACAGGTGAAGGAGAGGGACTTGGTCCCTCTCTTTGTCCTCAAGAGGGTCCTATAGCCCTAAGCTGTGCTCAGAAATGGAATCTTCTGGATGAAGATGCCTAGACAGGCTCTGGGGATGGAGGGTGGGGTTCTGCTGCTGAGTTGTACTGCCTTGTGAACCATGTTTGCCTGCCAGTGTCCGGGATCTCCTAAGGCCAGGGTGGGAGTATTTCTGACAGCCAGAGAGCTGAGCGCAACCAGAGGAGGTCCTGACCCATAGAAACATTTTCCATGAGATCAGCTGCCAAAAAAAGCTACTGTGTCATCCTTCGTTGACAAGGGGCTGTTTGGGTCACCTGCTTCTGAGGGAAGCTCTCCTGAGCCTTGATTCTAATCCCTTCCAGGACAGTGTGATCTTGGTCACCTGCCACCCTCTCTCCAACCTCAGTTTCCTTAGCTATAACTGAGGGTGTTGGCTGTGGTGATTTCTGAAGCAGGGGTATGTTACAAGGGGCAGTGCTTTCTTGGGGGTCCCAGCACACAATAGCTTTGTGAGGCTCTGGTTGCAAGGGTTGGGGGTTTGCATTTCCCAGGAGGGAAGAGTTGTCACCTTACGCTCCTACCTATAGGTGCCAAGAAGAAGATGCTGCCATCTACCAGGCCTCTGCCCAGAATGCCAAGGGCATTGTATCCTGCTCAGGGGTGCTGGAGGTAGGCACCATGACCGAGTTTAAGATCCACCAGCGTTGGTTTGCCAAGCTGAAGCGCAAGGCTGCGGCCAAGATGCGGGAGATCGAGCAGAGCTGGAAGCATGGCAAGGAGGCAGAAGGGGAGGCTGCCGACACCCTGCGGAAGCTCAGCCCTGACCGCTTCCAGCGAAAGAGGCGGCTCAGTGGGGCTGAAGTGCCCGTCCCCTCAGGCCCTCCTAGGGAGGCTGAGGGTGGGACCCCCACAGCCTGGCAAGAGGGAGAGACTGAGCCTGCTCAGCACCCAAGCCTGGGCCTGATCAACAGTTTTGCTTCTGGGGAGGTGACTACCAATGGGGAGGCAGCCCCCGAGAATGGGGTAGATGGGGAGCATGGCTTGTTGACGTACATCTGTGAGGCTATGGAGCTGGGGCCCCAGAGACCTCCTAAAAAGGAGTCTGGGGCCAAGAAGAAAAAGAAAGATGAGGAACCTAAGCAAGGACTGCGCAAGTCAGAGTTAGAGAAGGCAGCCCGAGGACATCGTTCTTCTGAAAACTATGTCCCCAGTTCAGACAAGACTGACTCCTGTGGGGTACAGCAGTCTATGAACACGGAGCAGGTTCAGACTCGGCCCAGAGGTAGGGCCTCACAGGGGCTTGGGTCCTCTGAAGCAGATGGTGTTAGGAAGCCAGCCTCCACTATGAGCACTCAAGACAAGGCCCAGGATGCCCCTGCTGTGGCCCCTGTTCCAACCTCTGTCCCTCCCTTGACCCCTGCCCCTGCCCCAGGCCCTATCCCTACTCCAGGTCTAGGCAAGGAAGTATACTTCTCCCTAAAGGACATGTATCTGGAGAGTACTCAGGCAGCCAGGCCTCAGGAGGAGGGGTCTCAACTCCCAAGTGGCAAAGCACCCAGAGAGATACCTTTGGGGAAAGTACCTGGCCAGGCAAGAGTTGAGAAGGAGCTTGCTGCACCTGGCCCGATCACACCTTCCCTGGCCCCCCAGCCAATGAGGCCTTTCAACAGGAAGAGATTTGCCCCTCCGAAGCCAAAAGGGGAACCCACCACCAACAGCCATCCTGACTCTTCCCTGGGTCAGCCTTCAGAACCTGAGCCTCAGGGCTTAGAGAAGTCCCCTACTCAAGCCTCTGCTCCAGTGCCAACACCCCCTGCCCGAAGGAAACACAGCACCCGGGACAGCCCCCTGCAGGGGCGAGCAGGCCATAGGACTCCAGGAAAGGTAAGTTGGGTATTGGGTGCCCAGAAGCTACTCTAGGAAGCTGACCTCATGGAAACTCTTGCAGCAACTGTAAGCAGTAGGCTATTTATGGAAGGGGTAGGGGTGGGGGTGGAGCACTAGTCAGGAGCAGGGACCACAGGCATGGCCCTCGTCCTAGCCACTCTTCAGATGCCAGGACACAGGCAGCACAGCCTGACTGTGACCCCTCTCCTGAGGGTGTGGGAGCTCACAGCCTGGGGGACTTTGCCCCAGAGGAAACTGGAGGAAAGACAGCATTTCCTAGGAAAGAAGGGTCCAGTAGAGAGACTTTTTCCATGAGGCAAGGGTCCCTGGGCAGCAAACAGTTAAGCATTTGGCTGGTAACTGAAAGGTTGGTCATTAGAGTCTGCCCAGGGGCATCTTGGAAGAAAGGCTTGGGGATCAACTGAAAAAACCCATTGAAAACCCTATGGAGCAATTCTACTTTGACATACATGAGGTCATTGCCATGAGTTGGAGTTGACAGCTGGTTATACTGAGGCAATTGGATATACTGAGGCAGCAGAGTTTCATGGTGACTGAAGAGCAGTAGAGTCCTGTAGTCACAGTTGTTCTCTACCTGCATGTTCTTTAGGAAATTTTTACAAACTACCAAATGTCCAGGAGATTCTGATTTAATTGGAGTTTTTCCTGAGGTTTTACTATCTGATATAGGTACATTCAAATCTGTCTACACTTATTGTGTAATTTTGGGCAAATCTATTTACCTTCCTGAGTCTCATAAAATAGGAATAATAATAATAGTGACCTTATTACTGAGGGCTGTTGAGAGAACTAGGGTGCTTAGCACAGGGCCGAGTGTTTGAACAATTAAGTAAATTGGTTTACTGAAGTGGGAGATAGAGGGAAATGGCTTTACTTTGGAACAGGAATGCCGTCATTTGCTGAAGGACAAGTAGCCAACAGAGAAAAGATACTGTTTTGTGAGGAGAGAGGACAGTGGAGTGTCCACTCTTCAAAGAGAGGCAGATGGGTAATAACATTAAGGAATTTGGTGGGGGAAGGAAGGAAAAGTGGAATTGAGAAGACTGACAGAGGTAAACATTTTGTCCCTTGGGGTTAGTGTTTCATGGCAGGATTCAGAGGGAGGACAGAGCTTCACAGGGGCTTAGGAGACAGTATTCAGTAGTGGGGCAGGAAGAAGATAGTCTTTCTTATGAGGAACAAAAGGAAAAAATGTTTGACATACATGGGGTCATTGCCATGAGTTGGAGTTGACAAGCTAGTTGAGTCTAGATATAACTCAAACTCACTGCTGTTGAATCGGAGCTGACTCATAGTGACCCCTCCTTGGTGATACCAAGGTGGTATCACTACAGTGACATTGGGAAAGTCAACTGTGAAGGAACTGTTTCAAGTGCTGAGGAGCAAGGATATCTCCTTGAGGACTAAGGTGCGCCTGACAGAAGCCATGATATTTCCAATCACCTCATATGCATGTGAGAGCTGGACAATGAATA